CAAAGCTCATTTTGAAGTTCGGTCGAACCTTCACCGTTCGTCAACAGTTTTTCAACGACGGGTTGATTGAAGAACTTGCGTCAGAATCTGTCGTCCGAAAGCGTCACTGTCATAGGACACTCCCAATGCTATAGAGGTGTACTGATGCCAAAATAGCCCACGTGTTTACAGTGGTGACCGTGTTTATCTAGAGGCGGATGGGGTTCTAGAGGCCATCGCGATACGTCGGAATTACCGGCTTCGCGCTTGCGTTATTCAACGCAGTTTCACCGCGTTCCGGTGCAACTCTGAACTTGGTCGCCAGGGCGTCTTGCGCGAACCAAGGCCAGAGGCCTGAGGCCTGCAACAAGTAAGAGTTCCCAGTCTAAAGTTCGACGAGAGCTCGCACTGCTATCCCCGTGTGATAACACCCGTAGTGAAGAGGCACCGGACTGATACAACATGACGTCCTTTGCGGTAGCACGCTCACGGTATTGCTTCTGCTGCCCAAGGACTCGTCGACTTCCTTGGTCGACCCCCGCATTTTCGTTTTAATGCACCGACATTGTGGGTTGTTGAATGGGACCGTGCACTTGTGGGGCATTTGGGGATTGATCTAAAATAGAAATAAAACAGTTGCAGTAATCATGAAGCATGCAGGGAGTTCTCGAGAAAACAAGCGTGTTTTTAGGCCCGGATAAATAAGTTACCCATCGTAGAAAGCTCAAACTCCGTGAGAATGTGAAGCTATAGCGGTTGGGATAGAACACGCAAATTTGAGAACCTGACGTTACCTGGCTCAAAAGATAATTAAAAAAAATGTGTATCTATTAGCCGACGTCCACCTAAAAGCCTAATATCGTCAAAACAAGAAATGATATTGTGAACGCTTGTGCGATTTGAAAAGCACTTGTCATCAAGAAATAAAATAATGTTTTCTTTCTTGTTGACAATTTTGTTTCACTGAATTATATGCTACAGGGGCCCACAATATAATTTCTTGCTTTGACGGCATTAGACTTAATGTGATAATGCAATTAATGCAGGTGCAAGCCAGCTGGACAAGAATAACGCTCAAATGCCCCCCCCCCCCCCAAAAAAAAAAAAAACAAAAAAACAGAAGAAAACAAAAGAGGTTATACGCAGCTAGGTGCCTGGTGTTCGTCCTTTGCCTCTGTTTTTTTTTGTTTTTTTTTTAGGGATTATTATTGTTATTAGGCTCAAGGATGGTTCACAGACTGGCGTGAGTCCCACCGAATGGGACCAAAACGGCTTGCGACGTTAATCCTTTTAAGGCTCTGTCACACTGAGGCACACACTCTAAAAAAAGCCCGTGCGTCTACTTTCCCGCACAACACTCGGAGAGCCAATCACCGCAACTTACGAAGGCAACTCAGCGAATGACGATGCCGAAACATGTGTTTACTCCAAAAAACGCAGTCTGAGTTGTGACATTAAGCAATGCAAAACGTCACGCTTGCATTGCTTAATGTCCCAACTGAGACTGCGTTCTTTGGTCTAAACATAGGTTTTGGCACCTTCATTCGCTGAGCTGCGTGCGTAAGTTGAGGTGATTGGCTCTCCGAGTGTTGTGCGAGAAAGTAGACGCACGGGCTCTTTTTAGAGTGCAGGTGTAAGTCAGCTGGTTCAGATATCATCACGCTGAAGAAACGAGCTCGTTGGTTAACCTAAGTGAAATGTAATTTTTTACGTTATCAGTTGATTTATAAGTAAACATTCTAAAGATCTCGCTCTTTTGTATGTGTGTTTACGCCTCAGTGACAAGATGCAACGCGTTACACCAACATGTGATCACTTCCTGGAGCGTTATCTCCGTGCTCGAACGGGTGACCCTTAGCATCTCAAGGGTTTGTTGACAAACACTGGAAGATGTGCCTCCGTCGTCGACTAGAATCAGTGCGACAAAACCCATTACTATCTATACTCCGTTTCATCTCCGAGCGCTCCCCACACTACGAACCAATGGGGCCAATGAAGTTTATTGGAAAGCGCTAGGAGAAAGGCATGTTTTGTGTTTGCATGTCTATGTTACTGGCAACTGATCCAATCAACCGCGAAGAATGCGTCGTGACATTGCGTCTTTACTTTTAGTCCGGGCGTTTCTGTTTGTGTGCACTATAGCTTCTAGGCTCGCCTCGCTCGAACTTACGATGTAACGGAGTGTAGGAATAATTTTTGGACTTCAATCGAGTATATGCGTACACATGTAACACAGTACGTACCCAACTTAAGAAGAAAAAAAGACGTTTCTGTTTATACAGCGGACGGTCAGTCTGCGTTTGAGATGCGGCGACACTGGTTTACGCTGCAGATGAGAAATTTAGCCAGTGCAGTACGACTGCTTAGCCTGGGGTCTTTAACGTGTATCCTGCAGAAGTGATACACCACCGCGCGCCGCTACGATGCTCATCCACATCGAGACGGGCAGGGGTGGGGTTTGAACCTCAGCACGAGCTTTCGCTCCACGCGCTCCGAGCTGGTGTGCGCTAGCCGACTCTGCAAACGAGCACACCTTTCCAAACTGGAAGTGTAACAATGGCTCATGTAAGGTTTATTTTATTTTTCATAAAGACAATTTCTTCAGGA